TTTTTTTTTTTTTTTTTTTTTTTTTTTTTTTGGCAGCTGGCCGGTAAAGGGATCTGAACCACTGACCTTGGTGTTAGCAGCTCCACACTCTAACCAACTGAACTAACCGGCAGCCCGCCCTCACTACTATATAAGAGTATCATCTGTCTTTCTCGTCCTGCCCAGTGGCCACAGAACTGTGCAAGCCCAGCACTCGCACCTCATGATCACATTCACATCACCTTCTTCAACTGTTAGAGTCAGTAGGACTGAAGCCATGCATGCTGGGACCTAAAACTGCATAGGCTTTAGAAGGAAAAAAAAAAAGGACACAATTTTTTCTAAGCAAGCATTTCTCTGAGTTCCCTCTTTTCCTGTGGTTATTTGATATTTTGAACCTTCGTTATGAAGCAAGATGACATTATTTAAGTAAATGTAAAGTTGTTTTCCAGTCAGTCTGAAGCTGCACACCTGCCACAAGACATGTACTATCCAGAATCCTGAGAAGCCATGGAAAACATCAATAAAGCTATGCTTATTCCACCCTGAAGCAAATCAAAATCCTTCAGGCCCCGAAGAATACAAGAGGAGAACAGAAGCCAAATGGAGCCTTGGTAAGAATTTGCACCTGGCCGCTTATACATCTCCCTCCTTCCTGCTTTTCATTTCTCACATTCCATTCCCTCAATCTCCTCTTTAAAAACCCCTCAGTAAATCTGAGTCTCTGAGATGGTTTTAGACCATCTCCTTCAAGTTTACCAGAAAGATGGGTTAGCTTAACATCTCTCAAGTCACTGTTATTCCTAAATAAAGCCAACTTCCTATTCCACCAACATTTGACTTTTGGGTCTTTTGTTTTTTGGCAGGGGTAGGCAGCTGAACTCGGGTTTGGTAACAAGATTTTGGCAAGCCTCAGGCAGGAGCTGAATGCCTTAGGGTGACAGATTTTGGCGAGCCAAGCCAGGGTTTCATACTGGGCAGGCAGCCGGATTTGGTAATACAATGATTAACCTATATTGGAAAGGTTTTCCCCTAGGAACCACACTATTAGGTGCTGAATGCTTTCAAGATACCATGCACAAAAAATGTCTCATATGTCAGAAAAATAATAATCCTCAAATAAAGAAATAAATACCCCCAATTTTTTGATCCCTCAAGCATACCTTTTTTTCCAGCTCCGTAGCTTTGGCTTCAGATTTCTCCACCTTTGTTTTATCAATCATTTGATCTGAAAAGAGTCAGTAAGTAAAGCTCTTAATTTCTCTTGGACTTCCCCCCTCATACCTAAGCCCTTCAATATAACCAAAGAGCAGTCTTTTTTGTCCTTTTGGTTATTTTCATTATCCTTCTTAATGTCCTGCACTAGAAAAAGAAATGGAAGGGCCGGCCCGGTGGTGCACTCAGTAGAGTGCAGTGCTTGGGAGTGCGGTGGCGCTCCCGCCGAGGGTTCGGATCCCATATAGAGACCGGTCCGCTCACTGGTTGAGCGAGGTGCGGGCACGACACCGAGGGTTGCGATCCCATTGCCAGTCCCGGTACGGGCGCAACACCGAGGGTTGCAATCCCGTTACCGGTCACGAAAAAAGACAAAAAGGAAAAAAAAAAAAAAAAGACATGGAACTTTCTGGAACTTTCAGTTAAGTTTAACATATAATTTCTGAGTGCATAGTAAGGCTACTATGCTGGATGGCATGAAGAATGACTAATGAGTGATATTTATGACTGTGAGACCAGCAGCAGTTACAGATATAGATGAAGTCCCTGCAAAAGGCAGTGATATGTGAGAAGGTGCAAGTTTTTAGATTTATGTAGAAATAAAACTAAAAGCCAGTGTATTCCTAGGAAAAATATTGGTTACTGATAGAGTTTGGATATGTATCCCCCCAAAGCTCATGTCAAAAATTCTGATCCCCAGTGTGGCAGTGTTGGGAGCTATTTGGGTCATGGGGGATGGATCCCTCATGAATAGATTAATGCCTTCCCTGGAGGTGGGTAGTGAGTGAGTTCTTGCTTTGTTAGTTCTCATGAGAGCTGGTTGTTTAAAGGACCCTGGCACCTCCCCTCCCTCTCTCTTGCTTCCTCTTGCCATGCAATCTACTTGCACCTGCTGACTGCCCTGCCATTTTCTGCCATGAGCAGCAGCAGCCGGAGGCCCGCACAAGATGCAGCTGTCCCAGACTCATGATCCAAATAAACATCATTTTTTTATGTAACTACCCAATTTCAGGTATCTATTATAGCAACAAAAAAATGGACTAATACAATTATGACCTAAGAAAGGACAAAAATGTAAATATCTGGGGACTGGAAAGATATCTTCTCTGAAATTTTCATTGAAAGGAAGATGCAAGGGGCCGGCCCGGTGGCGCACTGGATAGTGCACCGCTTGGGAAGCTCCCGTCCGAGGGTTCGGATCCCACATACAGACCGGTTCCCGCTCACTGGCTGAGCGAGGCGCGGGAGCAACGCCGAGGCTTGCAATCCCGTTGCCGGTCCCTGGTCCGGTACGGGGGCAACCCTGAGGGTGGCGATCCGTTGCCGGACACGGAAAAAAGACAAAAAACAAAAAAAAAAAAAAAGGGAAGGGCAAAAAAAAAGGGAAAAACAAATTTTTGGGGGGCCCAAAAAAAAAAAAGGAAAAAGAAAAAAGAAAAAAAAAAAAAAAGGGAAGGGCAAAAAAAAAGGGAAAAACAAATTTTTGGGGGGCCCAAAAAAAAAAAAGGAAAAAGAAAAAAGAAAAAAAAAAAAAAAAAAAAAAAAAAAAAAAAAAAAAAAAAAAAAAAGAAAGGAAGATGCAAAATGAAAGGTATAAGCAATGTTTTGAGGAGCCAGACAGAAGAAGAGTACACTTACCAATCAATCCCTCAATATCAATCTGGAGGTGCCGACACTTGAAATCAGGATCAGCCCCATTCTTGTGAAGAACTATCTGGGAAATACATTCTTCAATCAACTTATAGTACTGTGGTCTATGGAAGAAACAAAATAGGGTTATCAAAGGAAAATAAAAATATAATTTTCAGAAGTATTAAGATTAAGAAAAGTTAACTGCTTTGACAATAGAGAGACCTAAGGATAAGTGTTCTGGAAAATAACTTTGTAAGGTTAACGGAAGTCTCATTACTATGGTAGGAAATCCCCCTATTCCACATCAGCTACCCCATCTACTTCAAATAACCAAAATTTCTTGCCATCTAATTCCCACTGCCAATACTTTCCCATCTAAAAATTTGGGCTTGATCCTTCCTGTGAGGGACAGTGCTATTGTTCAATCTCTACTTTTAGGCAACCAGAAAGAATTTTAAATTGCCACCTCCCTTTGCTATCATCTTCACCCCACCTACACATTCCCCTCCAAAAAAAAAGGCATTTCACCTTTTACACTCTGATCTCTGCCATGGGGATGCCTTTCAGTTGGATTAAAGGAACAACTGACAACTTCCTTTATATCTGTGACTAATGAACCCTAATCCTTGGTCTTTGTCTTTTCTTTTCCCCTTTAAAGAACAACTTTGCACTTTCCATGAAGACTCAAATTAAAAACTTCTCACAGGCACACCCCCTTACCTGGCTTCATAGTCATTTCGGACTAACAGTAGGTGCTGCAGGATAGACAGGAAATGTGGCTCTGCCTTTGAATCCTTCACTGTGTTTAAAAGAATCTGGAAGACTTCACTAAAGTCAGTGGAAAAGGAGAATAGGCTAAGGAAAACAAATATTTAGAAACAATATTTGACAGGTGGCTTGCTCGATTCTTGGTGAAGCTACAGAAAAGTGGCAAGACACCAATTCCACTCTAATAGCTATTCTTCCTATAAACATCAGAAACTTTAAACTCTATAAACTTCTTCTAGCCAAGGGACCAGTAAGTTGGGTGGTACTATACAGAGAGAAAGAGGATTCCTAGTACTTGGCTTAAAGATCAAGCAGTAGAAAAAAAAAAGAAAACAACTACCTCAAAGTCACTTGTGGCAAATATTAATAGGTAATTAAGCTACTCCCTCTGTCAGTCCGAACATCTCTAAAAACCAGCTATACATCTCGAAAAGCTAAGCTATCATGTTCATGGAAGTTTACACTGATTTTGATATCTACTTCCATGCTGAGCAACCATCAGATCACCTTTACTGACTTCCCTGGCCCATGATGAGGTAAATAAAGCCAACAACAACAAAAAAAGACACCAGTCCTATTTACTGAGAAGACACAGAAGCCTGATGCCTTGTTCTGAGTCATCTTCCACACCATTCTATACAGGGATCTGCAACTGACTACAATGAACGCCTCATCTGTCTTGAACCCAGTCAGTAAAAGGATATTCCATCTCCATGCGAATGTCATCCAACCGTCCCTTCAAGTCATAGGAATCTTCTTCCCCGTGTTCATCAAACACATTTAATTGCACTCTCATATCATCATTATCAATCTCTCGAAGGTCCTGTCAATGACAAAAGTAGAAGTTAGGAAACTCAAAAGTTGAAAAAACCTTTCAACCTGGTTTTTACATTGAAAACCAGAGCTATCCCAGGCATGATTAGGGCTGTAAGATCAGGAAGGAACTGCCCAACGTTTTTAATGAAGTGTTATATCTTACCTGCAACACCTGATGCAGCCCCAAGCGCATCAGTTCACTTCGGATGTGAACTCGGAAGTCCAGTTCTTCAGCTGGTGTGATGAGAGCATTGATCAGCTGTAGGCACCCCACCTAAAATAAGGAAATTCAGCAGCTATGTCAATGATAACCTAGAAGATACACTACAAAAAAGAATGACTTTTCTAAGTGGAATGAGACCTGGTTTTCCAGACCAGGTCTGAAGAGCTCAGAAGTCTAAATGATTCCAAGGATCTGATAGTATATGCTATTGTAGATGTTGATCTTCCTAGCTTGTAAATAGATACCATGTCTTTTTTCTACCTCATAATGAGGAAAACAGTTCTTTCTTTGCCTTCTTAGAGAGAAGTTTAATCATCTTCCCCTCAGATATAAAATATATAGTTGGAAACCACTCCACATATTCTATTACAAGATCAAATGAACTTAAGTCTTTCCATTTTGAATTCTATTCTTGGGCCCAGTTTTAGGGGATATACATACCTTGAGTGCAATGGAGGTCCCACTTTTCAATCCATCTAGGAGAGGCTGGAAACGTTCCATCTCATCCATCTCTGCTCTTTCTGTCATTGCCTCCAAAACCCTTTCATTCCTGCCCAAGAGAAAGGAAAGGGAGAGAACTGCCCAGGTGCTCTGACACAGACATGTATAACAGGTATATTACACAGGGGCACAGACCAATTAGCAAACAGGATATTAACAATGCTCTAGATTTCTGACATTATTCTTTTCACCATCCCTGGAGCAGAGGACAGAATGTGCTGAAAGCTAAGGACAACCACTTCAGAAAAATGTACTCCCTTAAGCCCATTCCTAAACTCCTATCCAAATTAAGACTCCTGTTCTACAAAGTATATAAATTGGTACAGCTTTTGAAGGGGCCTTTAAGAGTACTAATTAATTTCTAATGCACATAACATTTGGCCTACTTCTAGAAATCTATCCAGCAAAAATGCATAAATATGAAAGACCATATGTACATGGATGTTTATTATAGCATCATCTGTAATAGTAAAAATTATTCCTGTCACCTACAGCAGGGGCAAGAATCTGCTAAAAAAAAAATGTCTACCTAAAAGTATAGTCATAGGGGAATTGTTAAATTATGAAACATACACATATACATATGGAATTTTAAATAGCCAGTAAAGATAATAAGGTAGATCTTTAAGTACTGACATAGAAGGATGTCCAAGATCCATTATTAAACAAAAAGAAACAAGCTGATAAGAATGAATGGTAAGGGGCTCAATTTTCCTCTAGACTAAAAGATGATGGTAACAATGAGAATGGAGAACAGAAAAAATTCCAGTCACATACATGTCCTCGGGCTGTGGTAGGATACAAAGAGCAGAAAGCAGCTTAGCTGCATCAATCATCATGTTGGGAACAGCAGGATCCATGGCTCTAACCAGCAGTAGTATTCCTTCTTCTGTCTCTAACATGGTCTTAATTCCAAACTGGTAGGACAAGAACAAAGAAGGGAGGCTTAAGGATCTAGCCAGGGAGAAGTTTAGGGTTTGTTATCGGTTGAATGGTACCCTCCCCAAATTCATATGTTGAAGTCCTAATCCCCAGTACCTCAGAATGGGACCTTACTTGGAAATATAATCATTATAGATGTAATTAGTTAAGTTACAAGAAAGTCACATTGGAGTAGTATGAGCCCCTAATCCGATATGACTGGTGTCCTTAAAAAATGGGGAAGTTTGGATATAGACATGCACAAAGGGAGAATACCAAGTGAACATGAGGCAGAGATCAGGATGATGTGTCCATAAGCAAGAAATGATAAAGACTGCCAGCTAGCCACCAAAAACAAAGAGAGACGCACAAAACATACGAGGGTACTTCAAAAAGTTCATGGAAAAATAGAATTAAAAGCTAATAACAAGGGCCGGCCCAGTGGCGCACTGGAGAGTGCGCCGCTTGGGAGCGCGGTGGCGCTCCCGCCGAGGGTTCGGATCCCACATACAGACCGGTTCCCGCTCACTGGCTGAGCGCGGTGCGGGCGCAACACTGAGGGTTGCGATCCTGTTGCCGGTCCCCGGTACGGGCGCGACACCGAGGGTTGCGATCCCGTTACTGGTCAGTAAAAAAGACAAAAAGGAAAAAAAAAAGCTAATAACAAATCTTTCCATGAACTTTCTGAAGCACCATTGGATTCTCCCTCATAGCCTTCTAAAGGGACCAACCCTGCTAACACCTTGACCATAAACATCTAGCCTCCAGAACTGTGAGACAATAAATTTCTGTTATTTAAGACACCCAGTTTATGGTACTCTAGCAAACTGATACAGGGGTAGAATACTTTTCTCAATATAGCTAAACAGAGATGAACATCACAAAATAATTTTCTAGGAGACACAAAAGAATTCCATGTCTTCTAAGAATTAAAATCATTGATTTTTATGTTTCTTTTTAATATCCTGCCCCCAATCCCATGGAATAAGTTAACCATAACAAAACTAAACAGTTAAGAAGATAGGTCTGTACTCAGGGGCAAATAATTTTAGGCTCCCTGGGTTTAAATAATAAACAGACAAAAAAGAAGATGAAAAGATTCTAAAGTAGAAATAGTCTAGAAGGAAAAACAAACGAACAAGCAGGGAATAAAGCAAACCTTCCAAAAACAATAATTACAGGTCAGGAAATTCAAGAATTAGCAAAAGAAAGTAAAGAAAGGAAGAAAATTGAACCTCCCATCTGAAAGAGAAGTTAAAACTGGTGAAAAAGGGCCATAGAAGCATGTATATGTGACAATGAGAAACAGTTATGATACTAAAAGGGAAAGCTAGAAGTCTTGAACCTCATATTCCTAGTTCCTTTTTTGGGTTTGCCCAAAGAGAAAAAATGGAAGTCCATACGGGGGATGGAATGAGAATGGGAAAATCTCACCTTGTTGTTCATAAAAGCTTTCAAGCAGCGAATGATCTCATGCTTGTTCCGGCTATCATAGCTTCTGCATGTAGAAGGCATAATCAGTGAAATCCCTTTACTCTATATCCCTTTTCCATTTTACTTTTCAATCTTTTAAACAAGGATCTTAGGAATACCCCAGCTAGTAGTTGAGTAAATTGTAGCACATAGCCCAGAAACAGTGACAAAAAAAGGCAGCTAAAAAGGGATCCCCACCATCAAAGACCTTTGGCTAATCCTCTTCTAATCCAAGAATTCAGTATTACACTAAAACCCTCCCTTCTACTCCCTGTAGGCTCCTAAGTGCTAAATTCTATCAGGATAACATCTACCTATTACTGTTTGCCTCACTACGTCAAAGGTTTCAAGTCTAAGAAGGTACATGCAAGAGGTGTAGGCCCTGTTTTGTTTTGCTTCAGAAAGATTCCAGGAGGTAGAGAGATCTCTTTGGTTCAGGCTGACTTCAAGGTAGCCTAAGACAGTCCAAGGGATCTGCAGAATTATTCCAATCCTGAAGACTGCCAAAGAGCTAGCTATTCCCAAACTGATCAAGTGTACTGATAAGACTTTCAAATGGGATATGTCCCAGACCACATCACAGGACAGCTTTGGACTAAATCAGATCCTATTTCCAGATTGAAAAAGAACCCATGCTGGGATACTAATAATCTTATGTGGTATATATCCTGTGTTATTTACCATGAAATATAAGTTCCTCCTCCCCTCCCTGTATCTATAATCATCATTCATCCTCTAATCACCCCTACAATAAGCCCCATTCTCAGATAACAGCATATTCTGAGTCTATAACTATATTTAACTGCTATTTTCTCCTTTAGAGCAAATAACCAAGTCCCCTATGACCCTCCACCTAGAAAATGCAGACAGCTGGAAGTCCTCACCCAGCAGTCTCCTCTTTCTCATCATGAAGTCGTTTAAGGATGTCCAATAAGGAGGCCAGGCCCTCAGCACCAAATGTTTGCACCCAACTGTAAGAGACAGATAGAGACAATGCAATATCAAATCAAATCAATAAATACTTATTTGCCAAAAAAAGTTCATCCTGGAGACTCTTTACTCCTAATCCAGACCTGGCTCTTTTGATCTTTAGTCACCACCAGGGAACTCCAACATTAGGCTCCTACTCCTCTTTACCTCCTAAGAATGCTTACCTAACAGGATTGTTGTTGAGAGAGACACGAAGGGATTCCAGGCAGCTGAGCAGAGGCATATCCCGCAAGCCTGACCTCAACTCCTGAATGTACATCATGGCAGACCTAGAGCTCTCCTTTTGGCTCATGCCCTAGATAGGAGGCATAGAGAGAGATTAGTAAACACTGGACTCAGTTGTAAATTGAGAACTAATATTAGTCAAGAGTTTAAATAACATCAGGGCAGACACCCATCACACCACCAAACTACGTGAGACAGAATTGCCTATCCCTTCCCCCATACATACTTCATGAAGATTTAATCAGGCGAAAAGTACATAAGAAGATAACTCAAATAAGAGAGTAAAAAATGAGTAGGCTTATATAACGGAATGAAATAGAACTGATATAGACATAAAATGTTATATAAAATTGGCAAAACTAACGAGCTGGCCAGCTAGCTCAGTTGGTTAAAGTGTGGTGCTGATAACACCAAGGCCCAGGGTTTGATCCCTGTACTGGCCAGCCACCAAAATCGAAAAAAAAAAAAAAAAAGGCAAAACAAATACATCCAAGATAAGGACACAGTCTCCCATATCATGGGTACCTGCCCCAGGACTCACAGCCTTGGAGGTGTGCAAGTATTGGGACACCATCTCCCTCTTGATGATAATGTCCTTCTCCCTCAAAGGTTGCTGTTTCTCCTCATTCAAGTTCATATCCAGCTAGAAGAGGGAGACAAAAATGGAAAAATCAAAATTGCCTCAAATTCTTTACAAGTTTTTAGTGTTAAATATTTTCTATACTTAGTAAGGAGTTGAGCACATTAAATGCTTATTGAACAAATTTTCCTGATCCCTAGAGATTTAAGCTATTACAGCTGATAAAAATTCCTCAGGGATAAATGTGGCTGACATTTTAGTATAAAGCCCCAGATATTTTTACACATATACACTTTAACTTTTTCCCTAAGTAAAATGGACTCATATACAAATTTCTTTTGTATTATTGAAAGAAAACCACACACAATGTTTTTTGCCTGGAGAATGGACCTTAAAAATCTTTTCAGACTGAAGCACTGCACAACTGGCATCATCCAAACGCTAGCAAAATTGACTCCAGCAAAATCCGCACCAACTCTAGTGCCTAAACAGCCACCACCCCTGGTTAACTTAGTCACTGTACGAACTCCTTTCCCATGAAGAAAGAACTGGAAACTCTGTGATAAAGCAGAGGCTCTTTGAAAGACATAACCCAAAGTGTGTTGAGTGTGTTTCTGGGGAAAGGCTCTGCTTGAGCCTATTATATGGATAACAATGTATCCGAGCCCAGAACCTTAGTGAGCACAAGTGTAACCCTAACTAGTCCAAAATGTTCTTTGAAATGGGGAAAGTATAGAGAGGAAAGGGGATATATTCTACTTCTTCTGCAAGTAGCAATATTAATTTGAAGTTTTTCTGACTTAATTTCTGATTTGTTTTTCCTTTTACAGATAAATTGAACATAGAAGTTGCAAAGCGATAGCCCTCAGGTTTGAATCAGACCCAAAGATAAAATATGTTTACTTGGCTAGCTCAAGATTTTTTTTTTTTTCCTTTTTGTCTTTTTTCCTGTCTGGCAACAGATCGCAACCCTCAGTGTCGCGCCCGTACCGGACCGGGACCGGCAACGGGATCGCAACCCTCGGTGTTGCGCCCGCGCCTCACTCAGCCAGTGAGCGGGAACCGGTCTGTATGTGGGATCCGAACCCTCGGCGGGAGCGCCGCCGCGCCCCCCAGCCGCCCCCCCTTGCACTGCGCCCCCCGGCCCGCCCCCCCCCCCCCCC